TGTGTCTACAATAACCACTACAGTTCAGTGTAGTGGTTATGGTGTCAATAGTGCCGGGACCCCCTCCCAGAGTAAGTAGTCAAACCGTTTAAGAACAGTTTGACAACTTACCAGAGGTCTGCTGGGAAATGGGGCTGTAGTAGGGCAGAGTAGCAGTGGTGTGTGTGAGTGGTGCAATGTGTAAGGGGTGCAGTGTGTGTGTGTGTGTGTGTGTGTGTGTGTGTGAGGGGGACAGTGTGTGAGCAGTGTGTGTGTTTGAAGGTTGCTGTGTGTGAGTGAGGGCGGCAGTGTATGTCAGTGATGCAGTGTATGTATGGGACAGTATGTGTGTGTGTAACAGTTGCAGTGTGTGTGTGAGTGTGGGCGGCAGTGTATGGGGAGCAGTGTGTGTGTATGGGGATAGTGTATGTGTGTAGTGTGTGTGTGTGTATGGGGAGCAGTGTGTGTGCATGGGGATAGTGTATGTGTGTAGTGTGTGTGTATGGGGAGCAGTGTGTGTATGTGGCAGTGTGTGTGTATGGGGGGCGTGTGTGTGTGTATGGGGGCAGTGTGTATGTATGGGGGACAGTATGTGTGTATGGGGGGGCAGTATGTGTGTCTGGGGGGTGTGTGTGTGTGATAAGGGTAGGGGGGCTTTTTTTTATAATATATATTTTTATATTTAATATAAATATTCTATGTCCCTTCTTACCTTTACTGGGGGGGGAGGGGGGACATTTCCCTGGTGGTCCGGTGGGGGATTCATTGGTGGTCCCAGTGGGGAGAGTGAACTCTAGCCCGCACTCCTGGGCTAGAGTTCACTCTCGCGAGATTTGGAGCGTTGCTGTGGTAACCGCGGCAACACTCCAAATCTCGCGAGAGGAGGACCCGGAGGAGCTGCAGGCTGATCTCCCGGGTCCTCTCTCCTCCCTCTCCCTCCCCTGCCGGCTGTCAGCACAGTGCCTGCGGACCGGGGAGGGAGATCTGTGATCTGTGATCTCCCCTCCGGTCCGCAGGCACATTGCAGGGCTAGCACCTGCATGTGCTGGCAGGGGAGAGGGAGACTGTCGGATTTCTCGGTGGGGGGCAATTGCCCCGTTGCCCTCCCCCTGGATCCGCCACTGAGTAGAGGATAGACATAGGGTTAAGGAATACTTAGGTTTAGGGTAGGGTTAAGGGAGACAGGGTTACGGAAAGGAATAGACATAGGGTTAAGGGATGATTAGGGTTGTGGGTAGGATTAAGAGGTACTGAGTGCTATGAAAGGGTTAGAGGTAGATTTAGGGTCCTCAGAATTAGGGCTAGGGTAGAGGATAGACATAGGGCTAAGGAATACTTAGGTTTAGGATAGGGTTAAGGGAGACAGAGGGTTAGGGAAGGGAATAGACATAGGGATGAGGGTAGGGTTAGGGGTAGAATTAAGAGGTACTGAAGGTTAGGGAAGTATATGAGACTACTAGCCTAATTATGGATGGTACCTGCATTTAAGATGATGTAGGCTTCAGCTCTTATCATTTTCAGCTGAGAAAAAACTAGCTGAGAATAATGAGTTTAATTTCACAAAATCTTTGAAGTTCCAGGATAAAAGTGTAAACCAATGGCTGAAAAAACAGTATGGTAAAACCTACACCGTATCTTCTATTTTAATGGATATTGAAGGGATAGGAAGCATAAAAAATTATTCATGTGGACTTTTAGTTTAAAATAAACGAGAAAATAGTACAATTGTATTTACTTCAATGATGATAAATTTATGAAAACTTATGAAATTTTGAAAAATCCTTTTTAACAGACAGTTCCTTATGGCTGACATTTGCAAACTGGTGAAAAATAATACAGAGAGGTGGGAATTATGTCAACATGTCTAACTGTAAAGAACAATACTAATTCCAGATTTTCTTTAATATCTTACGTAGTTATGCTGTAAGAAGAGATATTGTTATCTCGTTTCTCAGACAATACACAAACATAAAAAAAATTTAAAAAATGAAGCAATTATTTATATAAACCTTATAGCAAAACACGTAATGCGTAACAAACTAACATTTTATTATCAATAAGCCTCATTCATTACAGCATATAAAATATAGTCAGAGATATGTTTATGCCATTGAAAATTATACTGAAATTTATATATGAAAATGGTAATTTTATCTTACACTTGGCAGCCGCCATTTTCCTTATAGGATTTGCTCCCTTACACATTGATGATACATTTATATAATGCAATTATCTCTAGTGATATGTAAAGATGAATTTTTCTGCAAGCAGTGTTTTCTGAGAACGTTTGAGTACTTACTGTACACACAAATGTCTTCCCTCTGGTCAACTTGCAATACCTTATTTCTGCATTAATGACTGGACCAAATTACCTTTAAATCATAAAAGGTTGTAGCATATAACAAAATGTATTTGCAGACACAGGGCTGAAAATGTTCATTGGTTTTCCCATATTATCCTATTTTCACAACTCACACTCATCCCTCCCGTAGCCTCCATGATTTTCTGTTTGTAAAGTGGTAGGTGGTAGGTAAGTGCTTTCATCAATGATACCTATAAGCATCAAGGCCAAAATCTGACTGGTTTATGGTCTAAAATGTCTACATCCTGTAACCGTTAGGATTTTTGCACTACTCAGAGACATTTGTTGTCAATTCTCTGAGAGGCACTCGCAACTCAGTACCATATTTACATAATCGGGTCCTGCTATCAATCTTACAAGCATACCTGCATAGCATATGGGTTTATGGATTTTAAATGCATATTTTTCAGTATAGAAATGCGATCCCCTTGACACCTGCAATAAACAATTGTGATTTTACTTGAGTTACTGTAGTGCACCTTAAAATAGCCTTCCTCAAAGACGGAAGATAATAAACAGGAAGAGTCTATTCAATAGTCGAACATAAAGCCTTCTTCTGGCTCTGGCTCACGCACAATACTCAGCTGTCTTTGCATTTGAAAGAGCTGGAGAGTGCTGGATTAGACCATTTTAATTTCATTAAAAATTATGTCCCAGTGTCTCCCGCAAGCTGTTCATCCCTTTGTGCAAGTCACCCCGGCATCTTCGGCATGTCCACAGTTTGTCTTTCCAAAGCCTCCAAAATGACATTTTAGGAGAGAGTCCTCTGTCCCTTTGCATGCAACATCATCCATCCAGATTCTTCCCACACCTGCAAAAACAAGAGAATCTGTTAGTGATGTGCTTTCTGCTCTGCAATACCAAGAGTGAGTCACCGAAAATAGTTAGTTCAATATATTGGTAACCCTGCCAAGATGGTGAGCCGAACATTGTATTACATTTTACTTTTGGAGAGCAAAAAATGGGTCGCAAGAGTATTCTGAGAATGGACAGCAGCTAAAATAGCCTGCCCTTCGGTGGGTCCCCACTCAGAACTCAAGCTGGTTTTAGCTCATCTTGTGCCATTATAGAGAGAACATATCTGAAGCATATCAGACTGGTCCCACCCATACGGGCAGTCCAGATCCGAAATGCCAGCAAGTTCTCTCTGTACGAGAGACACAGCAACCCCAGATGATCATTTCAGCCTTGTTAGGCATTATCAGTGAGGCATAGCTGATATCTCTCTAGGCACCGTGAGCAAGGGGTCCTGGATTACCCTTTAAACTAATGGAGAGCAAAAAATGGGTCACAAGAGTATTCTGAGAATGGACAGCAGCTAACATAGCTTGGGTCCCCGCTCAGAACTCAAGCTGGTTTTTTGCTCTCCATTAGTTTAAAGGGTAATCCAGACGGTGCCTAGAGAGATTTCAGTCAAAAGTGACTTCCAGGAATTTACTGAACCCCTGCTCTGATATGGGTGATTTTTGGATATGTTGTTCACCCAAATCAGGGCTATCAAGGTATCAGAGCTGGTCCATTGTCTTCTGTAACGGATCACCTGGCACCCTGACTGGGTACCTCCGTTGAAGGATGCTCCTAGCGCTTCCTGAGGACTCCAAGCACTTCAGCAGACACCATAACCACCGTGGACTCCTTCAGAGAGCAGAACAGGGACAAGCTCTTACAAGAGCTTAGTAGTGAATATAGCAAGAGAGTATGCAGAGCATAGCAATCCCTTGTAGCAGGTTCCCCCAATAAGAGATAACACTCCAAATTGAGGGTGAAGTAGAAATGACTGTATTGGCACATACAGCCTCTTTTATTCACAATCCACAAACATAGTACTGCCCACAAGGTTTTGAAATACAACCAATCAATCCGTACAATAAACACAGACAAAATCCTCCCCTCTGCCTGTGATATGATTACTGAACACAATGGTTAATATAATTATCACAGGCAGAGAAATACAGTATTATAAAACATATCACAAGGACCCCAAAACATGCAATAACCACATAAAAATATCCTCGGAACCGGGGGATCTGGGTGA